TATCATATGGCCATATTTCTTCCTTCTAGCGATACACCAACAGCTCTTTTGACCTTCATACGCTTTGTTCTTTCTAGAAACTCACGTTGAGCTTTGTCGAGACGGGCGAACGCTTTCCCTTTTCTTTCGGCCTAAAAAATCACATAAACGAACAGCAGAAGTTGACAGCAATACCATAGCATCTTAACAGTACGACTATTCCTCACCTTGAACTCTGATTCTACATTCGACTTCGGTCTCACCACGTAATCTTTGGTGGAAGGTCGCGGAACACGAGCCCTATTAATAACTTTCTCTGAGTCTTTAGAAGTTGAATTCTGCTCAGATGGTCCAGCTTCTCCACTGTAAAAAAAGAAAGCATTTGTCTAAAACTAAAAAACAACTAAAAATAGAAGCATAAAAATCAATGAAGTGCGCTTCTGAACAGGTAAAGAAAGTTATACATTAACTTAACGGAATTACTACTCTACTCAGAATTATAATAAAAAGAGGACGGTCAATCGAAGTGGTGTAATACGTTTTTATGAAAAGAAGCTATGGAGTTTCGTTCTGTCAAAAAAGGCGAACATGATCTTTAACTATGTAAGTTGTTGCTATACTTCACTGAGAAAAATCATGGTTGGATAAAAGTTGGAGCGATTATGTGCAACTAATTTGTGCTTAGTCGCATGCTGCACAATAAATCAAGATAAGAAATCAACGCCACTAAGAATTCTCTTCTATTCAAAAAAACTTACCTCAGCTTCTTTTTCCTTGCATTAGCCATATGTTCTAGATCTCTCTGAACGCGCTCTTCACGGGATACGGAACGAAAATCTGTATCTAGCTGGAAAAATGGAAAATGTATTCATAAATCTTTCTAAAGCTGCCGAAAATGTGGAATCTCCTACCTGGAAGATAGGTCTTGACCACTCTCGTATGATGTGAGCTGCTATCGCTTTGTTTTCCTTTGTTTCTCGCGGATGCTTATACAAAAGCATGACCGCTCTTCCTAATCCGGACTGTTTTAGGATCCCCTAAACGCATACGATTACAGAACAAAAAAATTAAAAAGTACTTCTTAGTGGAATTGCGCTCAGACGGCTGTCTCACCTGATCCAGTCGGCCGAACCCTTGTAAGATCTTAAGCAACTCAGTCCTTATTTCGAGAGCTGGGAGGCTTTTATCGGGCAAAGGGGCCAACCACTCTGATACAGCGCTCATCATTCCATTTTCAATCATGGCGTCGAGCGTATCTGTCTACAAAACAGTGATAAAGTAAATTCAAAGCAATATGAATGAAACATTCTAAACTGACAGTTTCAAAAGCGGCCGGGAAATTAAAAGAATGATCATTCAAAGGCAGCTCAGAGTTGGAAAAAATACTGTTGA